AACACAGAGGGGCTTCAGCGCCCTGAGAAGACTTGGTTTGGCTCTAAGCACAGTGGAAAGCTGTTAGAGGGATTTGAACTGGAGAGTTTCTTGATCCGATTAGGATTTTAAAAGATCCCTCTGGCTGCTGTGGGGACAAATGGCTCTACCAAGCACGAATGAAGGTAGGGAGGCCAGGCAGAGGGACAGCAGTGGTCCGGACCAGGGCAGTGGCAGTGGAGAGAGTGAGACGGATCTGATTCAGGGGACACTTCAGAGGAGTTGCTGATGGATTGGGTGTCTGATGCTTAAGACCAAGGCAAGCTGGCAGCCTGTTCTATTTCCTGAGATGGAGAAGACGAGGGAATTAAGTTTGGGGATGGGGTGTGTGGGAGAGTGACGGGGGGAGAGTAACATATTCTATTTCAGGTCTGATAAACCCAAATAAGAGACTTCCTAATAAATGGTGGCGATTATTACTTTTTCTACCGCACGCACTTACATAATGGCGTCTGCAAACACACGTGCCTTCTCCCCAGCTTGTGGCTCAGCTCTGCTCCTCCTCTTTTCTTCTTTCCTTCCCCTTGTATTTCCCATTCCTCCTTGCCCACCCCCACCCCCAATCCCACTCCCAACTCCACACCTCCCCCACTGAGTGCTGGAGGCTCTGGAGATGAGGAAAGCAAGGCCCCAGGCAGCCCAGCCACGCTCCCCCTGGCATGAGCAAACCCCTTCTCCTCCTCTCTTATCATTGTTGGGATTTGGGCCCAAAGGAAGCCGCTGGGGTGAAACCCTGGGCACACACAGCCCTCTGGGTTCAGCTCCTGGTCTTGCAAACCCTCCGGCCTTTTTGTCTCTGTCGCTAGGAAGGCAGACAGGTTACCAGGCAGGGCTAGTCTGTGGCCGGCGTGAGATCCAAAGATGCAGCCGAGAGAAGAACAGAGATTTCCCACTTTACTGAGGACGTAACTCTGAGTCAAGATCCAAGTCAATGTGGCCCATTTAGCTGAGCTGTCATCTTGCGTCAACTGTGTCAGAATAGCACTTAAAGACATTTGTCAGGGAGCCAGCTGCAGAAAGCTGGCTTGACTGCCCGAGGCCCACCCGCTGTAGAAGGCTGTCCCGGGCACTGAGGACTAGATGCATCCAGAGGCGACCATGGCTCCCAGAAGCACCGGCACAGTCTTCGTGAGCCAACTACTTAGAGAGGGGAGCTCTGATATGCTCCCAGTGTGTGTGGTGGGGATTCACTGGGGAGACGAACAAATTAGGTTCCTCCTTCTGTTCTTTGACTTTTCACGCTGCCCTTAGCCCTCAGGAGGGCATTCGCTCTGGTAACAACTCTCAGATAGAGCTAACTATGTGCCAGGCACTGTTGCAAGCACTTCGTATATAGTAACTCCTTAAATCCTCATAACAGCCTGAGAAGCTGTGTACTGTTATTATCATTCCCATTTTACAGATGAAGGAAGGGAGGCTTAGAAAGGAGAAACAAGTTCTTCCAGGGCACATAACTAAAAAAAGCAGCAAAGCCAGTGTTCTGGACTTACGTCCTTAATGGGCAGGTGGGTGGCTAGAAGGACAGAGAGGGGATAGTCCATGAGGAGCAATAGACAGTCGGCATAGGGAGGTGTCTGTAGGCTTGAGACAGCAGGGGTCACTTCATCACTCTTGTCCTGTTATAATGTAATGTATTTAATACGTTTATATATGTAAACATATACATAAATAAATAGGTCTTATTTTTAAGCAAAACAAAGCGTTAAGCATCCTTGTGCTTGCTTTAAAGTATAAATACATTAATACTTAGACGCAATCAGTTTCCTACCAAGTATGGGCCTCTCTTAGGGTACAGCCTTAACACAGATTCAGTAAATCAGAAGCACAGCTCCCCTTCTCCTCCAAAAGTCTCTTCCCAAACCTCATTAGCTATTGGGAAAACCACATAAACTCTCTACAGCTTAGATTTCTTGTCTGGACCTACCTTATCGGGTAAAAGTTTATAATTATAAAAATTATAATCGTAATCATGAGAGCTACTGTCAACTGAATACCTAATCTATGTCTGTACTAAGCGGAGCACTTTCACACATTACGGTTTTTAAAAATATATTAAAGTCTAGGGGTGCCTGGGTGGCTCAGTTGGTTAAGCATCCAACTTCAGTTCAGGTCATGATCTCACAGTTCGTGGGGTCGAGCCCCACATCAGGCTCTGTGCTGACAGCCAGCTCAAAGCCTGGAACCTGTTTCAGATTCTGTATCTCTTTCTCTCTCTGACCATCCCCTGTTTACTCTCTCTCTCTCTCAGGAATAAATAATAAAGGGCTCCTGAGTGGCTCAGTCCGTTAAGCATCCGACTTCGGCTCAGGTCATGATCTCATGGTTCATGAGTTCAAGCCCCGCGTCAGGCTCTGAGCTGTCAGCACAGTCTTTTTTCGGAGTCTGTGTCTGCCTCTCTCTCTGACCCTCCCCTGCTCACGCTGTCTCTCTCCCAGAAATAAATAAAACATTAAAAAAAAAAAAGAAGAAATAAATAATAAAAAAATTTAAAAATTTTAATAAAAAAATCTATTAAAGCCTAGTATACTTCTTTCTTTTTTAATTGACATGTAATTGTCATATAACATTATGTTAGTTTCAGGGACACAACATAATAATTTGATACATGTGTTGCAAAATGGTAACAATAGTGAGTCAAGTTAACATCCATCCTTAACCAATGTATGTATGTAGTCACCATACATTGTTACAAATGTTCTTGTGATGAGAACTTTTAAGATATACTCTCTGAGCAACTTTCAGTGGCATACATTGTTATTAGCTATAGTCATCTTGCTTGACATTACATCCCCAGGACTTATTTAGTTTGTAACTGAAAGCTTGTCCCTTTTTATCACCTTTATCCATTTTGCCCACTCCTTACCACCTGCCTCTGGCAACCACCAGTCTGTTCCCTGTATCTGTGAGTTTAGTTTGTTTTTGCTCTTAGAAGCCACACGTAAGTGAGATCATATGGTATTTGTCTTTCTCTGTCTGACTTATTTCACTTAGCATAATGCCCTCAAGGTCCATCCATTTGTTTCAAATAGCAGATTTACTTTCTTTGTGTAGCTGAATAATATTCCACTATATGTATGTACCAAACTTTCTTAATCCATGTATCCATCTATCTTTTCAAGTGAGTATTTTGTTTCCTGTGGATAAACACCCAGAAGCGGAATTACTGGATTATACGGTATTTCTATTATTAGTTTTTTGAGGAAGCTCCACACTGTTTTCCACAGTGTCTGCACCAGTTTACATTCTGCTAACAGGGCACCAGGGCTCCCTTTTCTCTACATCCTTGCCCAACACTTGTTCTTTCTTTTGCGTTTTTTTTTTTTTTTTTTTTGAGATATAGAGAGAGATGCGCACAAGCAGGAGAGGAACAGAGAGAGAGAGAGAGAGCAGCAACTTTGCACGCTCCTTGCTCAGAGAAGAGCCTAACATAGGGCTCAATATCATGACTTTGAGAGCATGACCTGAACCAAAATCAAGGGTCAGATGCTGAACCAACTGAGCCANTTTTTTTTTTTTTTTTTTTTTGAGAGATAGAGAGAGATGCGCACAAGCAGGAGAGGAACAGAGAGAGAGAGAGAGAGAGAATCCTAAGCACGCTCCATGCTCAGAGAAGAGCCTAACATAGGGCTCAATATCATGACTTTGAGAGCATGACCTGAACCAAAATCAAGGGTCAGATGCTGAACCAACTGAGCCACCCAGGTGACCTTGTTTTGTTTTGTTTTATTTTGTTTAATAAATATTCTGACAGATGTAAGGTAATATCTCAGTATGGTTTTGATTTGCATTTCCGTGATGATTAGTGATGTTGAGCACCTTTCCATATATCTATCGGCCATCTGTAGGTCTACTTTCATGCATTATATTTGAATCCTCCTAAAGGCATCTGAAGTGTACGTAGGTTATGTAACCTGCCTGAGGTCACACAGAGAAGGGCTGATGGATTTGGGTAGTAGGAATGCCTCAGGCCTCAGGGCCAAGAGCCATACCCTCATTGCTTAATCCTGCTAGGGCTTGTCACTAACCAGGGAAGAATAAAGGCTTGATTGGTAAATGTGTGTGCGCAGCAAGATAAACTTGAGTTGTGACCCCAGTAAGAATTCTCCTTCCTCCAAAATTTAGTCCATGGATGAACGTGCTATCCAGCTCAGGCTGCTAGAACAGAACTGGGCAGCTTAAACAATGGAAATTTATTTCCCAACAGCTCTAGAAATCCAAGACGAAGGTGCCATCAGGATTGGTTTCTGGTGAAGCCTCTCCTCCTGGCTTGTGGACAGCTGGCTTCTCACTGTATCCTCACTATGGCCTTTCCTCTGTGCACAGAGAGAGAATGAGAGAACTCTGGTACCTTTTCCTCTTCTTAGAGGGACATCAGTCCTGCCTGATGAGGACCCCACCCTAATTATTCACCTTAACCTCAATTACTTCCTAAATGCCTGTCTCTAAAGTCCATCACATTGGGGGTTAGGTCTTCAGCATATAGACTTGGTGGGGGAGGAGGGACAAAATTCAGCCCGTAACAATGAGCTTTGAAAAATTCTGGGAACCCTTAAAACTGTGTACCACATCTTTGCATGGATGGGAGTCCCCAAAGTTTACAAAAGTATGAAGAGTGGACAGAGACAGAAAGGGTTCGTGGGCAAATGGAAATGGAACCTGTATTGAGAGGTAGAAGAAAGAGAAAGTCCTTATAATATTATTTTAATTAGTGTTACAAAGTGGACAATAAGAGGGGCAGTGGAAAATGAGGAGATGGTGTGTCAGAAGTTAGATGGCCTGGCTGAGACCACAGCATGGGGCGTGGATCTGAGCTTGAACCTGGTGTCCCGAGCCGTGGCCCGCATGGTTTCCACCGGGCTTGCTGTCTCTGCTGCCCCACAGGAGCCAGGGCCATTTGAGCAAGGCTCCTCGCCATCCTCCCACTCACCTCATAGATGCTCTTTCCCTTGCTTGCTTTCTAGAAGTGGAGCAGATCGAGGCCATCGCCAAGTTTGACTATGTGGGGCGATCCCCGCGTGAGCTGTCCTTCAAGAAGGGGGCGTCTCTGCTCCTGTACCACCGTGCCTCGGAGGACTGGTGGGAGGGTCGTCACAATGGCGTGGACGGACTCATCCCACATCAGTACATAGTCGTACAGGACATGTGAGTGGGAGTCAGGACCTTCTTTGAAGAATGCCGTGATTGATTAGTAATGTCTGGAACGGGCACAGGAAGGGAAGTGCGGGACTGTGTGCGAACCCTCTGCTCTCACTGGTGTGACATATCTGGTCTTTTGTAAGAATGGGTTATATCGAACTTCCCCTTAAATGATGATCCCCTTAACAAATAAGCAAATCGCTCATTGTTCAGAGTACACAGAGACCGCGTTCGGTGCCTTTGGCTCACCCTCCTGACCCACCTGCCAGCCTCCAGGGCACTCATCACCTGCCCTGGGTCTCAGCATCCAGTGGATCTTGCCATATTCCTCCACCCTCCCGAGCCATCCCTCTACTCAGTGGCCAGCACACTGTCCCCTTCACTGCCCACCATTCTCTGCCCCCCAAGTGTCTCTCTCAGAGGATGGGCAGAAACCATAATCCCTTCATTTCCACTTAATAGGGCACTGTTATTTTTTTAAAATTTTTTCAGGTACAAAAAAAGAAAGAGAGAGAGAGAGAAAGAAAGAAAGAAAGAAAGGCCTCTATCCCAAATACGTAGTCCTACCAGAGGGTCCAGAAAGTCTATACCTTCTCTTCTTAGAAAGCCTTCGAAGGTCCCTACGACACACACTCCCCCTGAGTTCTGGTCAGGCTCACATCAACCTGCTGTGCCAACGAAGCAGCCACCACGCTGGACCACAAGGGAAGGGGAACAAAGGCATAACGAAACCCGAGAAAAGTCCAAGGCCAGGCAGACAACAACAGAAATGCCAGTGGAGGACCCTCAGCAGCCTCCTCATGTCCCCAGGCCTCTGGAAGGGAGAGGGTGGTGGGAAGGGGCAAGCAGGGCCCCCCAGCAACCTCAAGCCACCTCACAGTTATCCAGAGCCCTGGATCGGGAGCTGAGGGATGGAGGTACTTTTCTTCCTCCCTTGTGGAGACTCGGCTTCCAGTGCTCAGCTTGCGGGCTCGTCCCCGTTTGCTCCAGCACTCCCTCCAGCATTTAGCTTGTCCTAGCCTGGAGCGGCCTGGGAGAGAAAGACTCCGAGGAGGGGGCAGGAGAAGGTGGGCCTGGGGCAGAGAGGCATCTCCGGCCGGCCGAGAAGGTGACTAGGAATGGGCTTGTAGGTGTGTGTGTTGCTAAGGGGCACAGTGGGAAGTGGCTCCTCCCGAGGATGGGTTCAAATCAGCCGTAAGGTGTGTGTGGATCCACCCTTCAGACAGGTGCGCTACACACCCTGGGTTCTCTGGAGCAAAGCACTCCCAATTCACATGTGTCCTTCTCCCCAGGGACGACGCCTTCTCCGACAGCCTGAGCCAAAAGGCTGACAGCGAGGCCAGCAGTGGGCCGCTGCTGGATGACAAAGCCTCCTCCAAAAACGACCTCCAGTCGCCCACGGAGCACATCTCGGATTACGGCTTTGGGGGGGTGATGGGCCGGTAGGAAACGCGGGTTCATTCTTTCCTAGTAGTGCCATGCCGTGTCTGATTTGGGAGAGACAAGGGAGCAGAGGGGAGACAGGGAGGCTGTTGCGGCCCCTTGTTCCCTGCAAGATGTGATACCGGGCACACCTTGGGGTGGGGGGCGCGGGGTGCCGGCTGGAGCTGGCCCAAGAATGCCAGGTGTAAAATGGTCCAGCTTGCAATTGGCAGTTGGAGAAGGAGAAGAAGAGACATATATTGGCAAATCAGTGCTTTTTATGTGAAATAGTAATGATGGGAGAAAGAGAGAGTTCTAAATTGGCAAGTATTTTTCCTACCTCTCTCCAGATCTTGCACCTCCTCCCTACTTTCTGTTGAAGACCTAAGTTGTTATATTTAAAAATTTAAAGCGCACATACTCCCTGAAGTGCACTACACAAACAGAAAACTCAAACCCACTCATGCCTTGGGGGAAATTGACACTTGCGGCCACCCACTTATTTGGTGGGGAGCCCATTTGCCAATTTCTTCCCTCCCCCGCGTGTGGGCTGGACTGTGTCACATGACCTTTCTGCCGGGCAAGGAGCTGTGCATGTTCTTCCACATGCAGGGATAGTCCAAAGATTGTGGCTGTTTCCCAAAAAAATTAAATAAGAAGTAAAAGAAAAGAGAAGCTGACAGTTTCTCACTGCTTCCTTAATCAGATTCTCAGAATGTCATATTCTTCATGTTTTTGGTGGAGAGGTCATGGGATCAGCTCACACAGATGGGAGCTTGCAGATAGAACCAGAGATATCGTCATAATAGGAACATATGTTTATGAATTTATTTCAGCAGAAGTCTCAGTGCCTCCTTTGAAAGCATATTCTATTCAATTCAGCAAAAGGCTCGGGCACTGTGATAGGTAACAGAATTGAGGAGGGGAGTAGAAGTCGGGTAGGTAGAAGACCAAGCCATGGTTCCTTGACTTCTAGGATGGCCATTTCCTGTCCTGCCTCTCTCCTTCCTCTCCCTCTCCCCCGCCCCCCACTTTCTTCTGGTTCTTTCTTTCTCAATATTTCCTCCTCTCCAACACCTATGCTTTGGTCCTGTTGGGGTTCCCACAGGCAGTGCTTAGCTTGGCTGGTGGCTCTGGGATCTGAAGTACTGCTGACCACATTGAACTTGGTCCTCTGGTCATGGACCGTTCCAACACTCTGGCCCTCCTCCCCACCCCCTGGCTACTTCCAGCCTCCAATCTTTGTTGACCTTCATAGGATGTAGCAAAATCACCTGTGGGTGGAGCCTTTTCTCTTTAGAGTGCTTCCACGTCCGCCAAACCTCCCTGGAAGGTGGGCAAGGAATATTGTGCCTATTTACCAGATTAATAAAATGGGTCTGAAAGAGCACACAGGAAACCCCGTGACAAAGCCAGCCCTCCTGATAGACACTCTAGTCCCCTTTTCACTCCACCAGAGCCTCCCTAAAGAGTGAAAGGTGGCCAGATGCATGGAAGGCATGTCCACTGATGCAGTTTTTACTCCTGAATGACTAGCTGGGGAGATTAGGGGTGGCTAACAATACTGGACTCTGTTCAGTTCCCAGGGTCCCCCTCCTGTGCTTGCAGGGAGCTGGTGACTTTTTGGTACAGTCAAGCCTCAATGCTTCAGACCAATTAAGAAGCCCTTCAGAATCATGGAAATGTCTGAACCACTTAAGAACATATCATGAGCCCGACTAACCGTTACCATAGCATTCCCAGGTTGAAGGTCTCCTGGCCTTGACTCGACATGTAGACAAGATTCATTGTGTAATTAGTAGCACCACCATTTGCAGTTTGCAAGCAGAATGCTTCCGATTCCTTCGTTTTGTGCATTTGAAACCTGCCCCTTGCCGCTAAGTTACACGCTCAGCCCGTGCTTTCATTGCACAAGTGCGTCTGGCTGAATGAGGCTTTACTATACCTGTTCCCTAGACTCGTATGTAGTGTGTGTGGCCTGGGGTGAGCTGCCCTGTTCTGAGACTTGCCAGGGCTGACCTCTGCCCCACGCCCCCGCCCCCTCGCTCCTTTGCAGAGTGCGGTTACGATCTGATGGAGCGGCCATCCCCAGGCGCCGAAGCGGGGGCGACACACACAGCCCGCCCCGGGGCCTGGGCCCCAGCGTAGACACGCCGCCCCGGGCTGCTGCCTGCCCCAGCAGCCCCCACAAAATCCCCCTCACCCGGGGGAGGATCGAGAGCCCTGAGAAGCGGAGGATGGCCACATTTGGGAGTGCCGGCAGCATCAACTACCCTGACAAGAAGGCTCTCTCCGAAGGGCACTCGATGAGGTCGACCTGCGGCTCCACCAGGCACAGCAGCCTAGGGGACCACAAGTCCCTGGAAGCTGAGGCCCTGGCAGAAGTAAGGGCCGGTGGGAAGGCAGGCGGGGCCAGCAGAGGACCCCCGAGGGGCGGCCGGGTGGGGGCCTGTGGACTCGGGAGGCACTTTGCCCTTCACACGAGGCTCGAGGTGAAGCCAGAACACAAGAGAGAGAGCACGCTGCCTCCCCATGGGAGTGGAAGCCGGATGGGTACGACCCTAGCTAGGGATCCTGTAAAAACTGAAGTGGAGGCTGGGGATTCCCCGCCCCGGGGGCAGGCCAGATGAGAGGGATTGGTAATGACAGGTGTCTCCACAAGAGGGCATAGTTGAGTTATTCATTCATTCATTCGTCTGTTCATTCATTCATTCATCTGTTCATTCATCCATTCCTTTATTGACAAACGTTGATTGGGCCACTATTGTGTCACAGTCACCACGCTAGGCACTGAGAGTCCAGGGATGACTAGAATGGACCCAGGCCCCGTCCCCCACTGCTCATCTTCCCCTAGGGCCTTTCTGCAGCCCCGCTCTGCAGATTGACGCATCACCTCTCAGACTAATGCAAGGCTCGTGCCTAAACTACTCAGCTGATCTTTCTCTGAGCTTTCTGTCTTTCTGGCTCACATTCTGCCAGGGAAGAGGGGTGGTAGGGGTGGTGGGGGAGGGGTGATCATTACATTTTGTGTTTTAAAGTTTCACCTTTTGGTTCATGCTGGAGCAGAGCAGGAATAGCAGTGAATTTCATAGGGGACTTCACTTAAACAGAATGGGCCGTGGAAAGCCGGTGATATCAGAGCCTGGCTGGGGTGTATAGCAAAGCTGGGGAGAGGATTGCCCTCTCTGCCTTCATGTAGAAGGCCCCCCCACAGCTGATCCTTTAGGATAAAGGCAGCAAAGCCTCTTCTTAAAGTAGCCAGTGTTCCGGGCAAGGGATAAAATGTCATGAAGGAGCATAAAAGCTACTATTAGCCATTATCCAAACAACCATAGTCTCTTAACAAAGCAAACAGGACAGGCTGGACCCTGTCCACCAGATTGGAGCCTGCTGTGGGGGCCCAGGGCAAGTCCCCTGCTGTGGGCCAGGGAGGAGAGAGGGTAGAAGATGGCGGGCGGGGCTGCGGGGAGGGACCAGCTTGACATCTCCAGGCGCCAAGTCCATCGGTGTGACAACACTTGTGGTTTTTCTGGGCTTGCCTCGCCGGACATGGTACAGCGCGCCTGCTAGCAGCGGTTTGAAGCAATGTCCCCTGATGTCCCTTCGGTGGCCGGGTTGTTCGGGCTCTGGCCTACCTCGGCCTCAGCAGCTCCCTGCACCTCCTTTGGTGTGGAGGCGTCCCTGTAACACCCGTGTGAGCCGCGGACTCTGGCTGGAGGGAGTTTGAAAACGACTGCCTGGCAGTTTACAAAGCGCCATCACATCCATTATCTCATCTCATCTTCACAGTAAATGTAGGGGCTTTCAACAGAGAAGCAAAGTATGGTACAGAGGGCCTGAGACTTGGCCAGGGTTGCACAGTGAGCAAATGCCAGAGGAGTCTTTTCACTAAAAAATTCCAGGCCCTTTGCCATAGCACAGGGCTCCAGGGTTGAATGCTGCGTCCAGCCTCAGCGCCCCCTCCTGGTTTGAGGAGGAACAGAAGCCTTGGGAAGGTGGAATGGAGGTGTCCTGAGGACTCTCTCTGTCATTCAAAGTGCTCTCCTACTGAGGAGCTCTTAATATTACAGCGTCCCCAGGAATTACGTAGGAAAATAAGGGTTTTGTTGCTTTTTAAAATTTATATTTTTTAAAAAAGCAGACTTTTCTGATTATGATACAGAAGAGAAAGTAACAGTCCCATTATTCTGGAGTGAACATTGTGGACATTCTAATATATAACCTCTGAGGGATTTTTCTGTGGGCAAGAATTTTTTTAATATGATTTTTTAAAGTTTATTTATTTTTTAGAGAGAGAGAGAGAGCATGAGTGGGGAATGGGCAGAGAGAGGGAGACACAGAATCCGAAGCAGGCTCTAGGCTCCGAGCTGTCAGCACAGAACCCAACGTGGGGCTCAGACTCACAAACCGTGAGATCATGACCTGGGCTGAAGTCAGATGCTTAACAGATTGAGCCCCCCAGGCGCCCCACCAACTGTTTTTTTTTTTTTAAATAACAATAATGGTTAGAGGCCTGGGCTCTAGAGACACACTGTCTGGGTTGAACCTTGGGCTACGCTACTAACTAGCCATGTGACCTTGGGCAAGTTACTTGACCGGGATGAGCTCCCGTTTTCTTATGTGCGAAATGAGCAGAAGGGTAGTTCCTACCTGACAAGTGTGAGGATTAAATGAGCTACAAATGGAAAGAGCTTGGACCGGTGCTCTGTTATCACCATTGTCACTGCCATTATTATTTGTGAGTGCTAACTCGATGTCAGGTGCTGTGCCAAGCTCTTCCCAGGGACTGTATCATTTAACACGCTCGTCAACACCCTGAGGTCATATTATTATGATCTGTATTCACAGATGAGGACCCTGAGGCTCAGAGAGTTGAGGTAACTTGCCCAAAGTCACATAGCAAGGAAGTGGCAGAGCCAGGACTTGAACCCATGTCTGTCTGCCTCCAGAGCCTGCCTTCTCCACCAAGAGGCTAGCCTGCCCTCCTCCTGTGCAGGCAGGTGTGCAGGCGATGCCCACGGGGACTCCCTCCGGTTGGTCATAGCACACCCTGGAGATTGACCTCCCCCTCCCAGCCATGAGGTTCACGTGCACAGGCAGTGGAGGAAGGACTGGACCCTCAGCCTCCAGACCCTGTGCTGACCAGAAGCTCTTTCTGTCCCCAGGACATCGAGAAGACCATGAGCACAGCTCTGCACGAGTTGCGGGAGCTCGAGAGACAGAACACGGTCAAGCAGGCGCCAGATGTGGTGCTGGACACCCTGGAGCCGCTGAAGAACCCGCCAGGCCCCATCAGCTCGGAGCCCGCCAGCCCCCTGCACACCATCGTCATCCGCGACCCCGACGCCGCCATGCGCCGCAGCAGCAGCTCGTCCACCGAGATGATGACCACGTTCAAGCCCGCGCTGTCCGCCCGCCTGGCCGGCGCCCAGCTGCGCCCGCCCCCCATGCGGCCCGTGCGGCCGGTCGTCCAGCACCGCTCCAGCAGCAGCAGCAGCTCGGGCGTGGGCAGCCCGGCCGTGACCCCCACGGAGAAGATGTTCCCCAACAGCTCCGCGGACAAGTCGGGCACCATGTGACCTCCGGGACGGGGCGGCACCGCCGTGGCCCGCCGTGGCCGGGGGAGGCCTCTGTGACTTCGGCGGCCCTCCCAGTGCCCTTGGCTTTGTCGGGTGGGGACCGGAAGGTCCGCCTGGAAGCGCGTCTGTGCAGAGCTGAGGCCCAGGCTCTGGCTGCGGCTCGTGTTCGGCCATGTGAATCCCGCAGGCCTCCGGCGCCTAAGCAGGCACCCAGAGGGGTGCGGGTGCAGGAGCCTCTCCTAAAGATTGGGGCAAACTGTTAAACGGCCTCCCCGCGTATGGTCACTGGAAAATGATTCTCTCCACATTCTCTCTACATACATAAATATGTGTGGATATATATGTGTGCATATATACACACATACATGTATGTATATGTCTGTAGGTGTGTGTATATATATATATATTTATGCATCTATATACATCTACTAGATCTGGACACACAACTAAATGTATATAGGATCTCCTTTTTCTTTTTATGAAACTTAGATTTACCTCAGACCCATGCCACCAAACACTTCCCGCTGAGTTACTTGGTGGGACTTGCAGGGACCTTTCTGGGAGAATTTAGAGGCCTCAGTGACTGCGGATGAAGCAATACACCACTAACCTGCAGAAAAATACACAAAAACAGTCTCCCACTGTCTCCAGAAGTCGTGGCCTTCCAGAACAATCTGCCCCTCACGGAAGGGTGGGACAGGCGGTACCCCCAAGCAGGCTGCTCCTAGAGGTGGGGAACCCTTCACAGAACCCGCCCCCCCCGCCCCCGTCCACCCCAGAGACCCTGCCTTTCCACCTGGAGGCCAAGGGCCAACCGAACCTCCAAAGGCCCGGGAGGACGGCGAGAAGGCCCCTGACCACAGCATCCTTGTGTTCGTGTGTAGAAAAGGGGATCGTGAGAGCCTAGGCCCCATCGCAGCACAGTGTTCTGTGTGGTTGGGGAAAAGGCAAAACAAAAACAGTGGTGTGGAACCTTCGAAGCCTAGACACGCTGTAGGAATAAAGTACCTATAGAGGTTTAACTTATACCATTTTCAAAATATTTAATTTTTTTCTTTTCTTCTTTCTACTAATTATACTGTGTCAGATCTGGAACTAAACAGGCAAGGAGGCTTTCGGTCACATCATTTTAATTTCAAATCAGTCCGCAACCCACTTTGGCTGCTGCCCTCCTGCGTGAAACGCAGGGACCTCACAGCAGGGGCCAAAGAGGGGCCATCCTCGGCACTTTCTGTCCTAGAGAACACTTCGGTTGACTTCATGCAAATGAAATGGCTTCCCTCTCCCCCATCCCTCCCCTTCCTAGCCCCTGCACGCCCGCCCTCCCCCCACCACCTCCAGAACATTTAATGTAATTGAAAATACGGTGATAGAACTGAGGTGAGTGATTTTCAAGAATTAGGAGCTAGACTTCGGCCTCTTGGCTGGGAAAGGGCCTTCTGGATCACTCTTGTTCCATTCCATTTTGCTTCCTCTTTTGGTCTTTGTATTTTCCAGAGATAGGCTGATTTCTGGATGATGGAATGTAGGCGAATCACATCCTAAGGGGACCACTTTTATTCATTCCTCATGCCCAGGGTCTCCTCCTTACCGTTCTCAAGCATTACCTCTTTCTCTGAGTGCATCTCCATGGCTGTGGTTCAGAGTCAAAAGTCCTGTGTTTGAGTCCCAGCCCCCACCTCTTAGGAGCCGTGGCCTTTGGGCATGTCACCCCACCGCACTCAGCCCGTTTCCTGCTCCGTAAAGATAAAGTGTAGGTGAGCAAGCTCTGGAAGCTGGAAAGCACTGTACCAACATGATCGCTCTTTTTATTATCATTAGTGAGGTAAGTCTTTTAGAGCAAAACCCATCCAGAATTCTCCTTTTGAAGCTTCCTAAGGGCATTTGAGAAGTGGGCGGTGGAATTTTCCTAGTAGTTTCATAAAAGCCGTGAAGCACAGCCCTACAGATAATATCACCTACTGACGCTTGAAATTCTGCCCTTACCATTTCACCTCATTGGACTAAGTTTTGCCCTCTCCTCTGGTCCTTCGTAAAAAGGTAAATGCACCCCAGGGGGAGGGACCTAGTAAGTCACTACTACCTGAGTGTGCAGGAGTGGTAGGCCATTCTGTCTCATAGGAAGCATTGGCAGTGAGCACACTCAGTGGAAGGGGTCAAGAAAGGGCACAAAAAAGAAAGTGCCAGACAGAGGTCAATGATAAACGTCCTTGTTTTGCCGAAAATCTCCCATTCTGTTTTAGCTCCTGGAAATGAAAGAGCCTCAGAACCAGCTAGGAGCCCTCTGCCTTTGAGCAGATGACTCTGTCCCCCTTTTACAGCTTGGGGAAGGAAACATGGCCTTGGGATGTGCTGTGACTTGCCCAAGATTTAACAGACGGCCGTGATCAGGCGCTTGCCCAGGAGGACGCTCTGCCCTCCAGCCAAGATGCAAGACTTCTCATTTCTACCCCAGAGATACTCCCAGACCTTAAATGCAGTCACTTCCTGTGCAAAATGTCACATTATCTGACACAGCTACCCAATGAGAAGCGAAAAGTTGAGTTGACGACTGTGTTGCCTGATGTGTAGACCAGTCAGAGCATGTGGCGGTTCCTGTAGACTGACCGAGTTTTTCCTTACTGAAAGTGGATCTGTCTGCCCTTCACCAAATTACCTGAAGGCAGAGTCTTCGCCGATTTCTTTTAAGTCCCTATTTTTCCATTGGGAAATGGCCAGTGAGTTCACATTTAGGGAAGCTCACAGCCCACTCATCCAGATCTGACGCTTGGCGCAGAACCACATGGAAAAATACTCTCCTGCCCCGCGTCCCCCCTCTTCCTCATCTGGCACTATGCATGCCTCCGCCGCCCTCCATGCACACCCTGTCCCATCCACGGTCACTGAGCATTGGCATTCTCTTCCTGACTCCTGCCTGTGTTAGTCCACTATATATTGCTGTATTTGCTTAAATGCTGGAAAGTAACTGTTAAAATGTGAAACTGTAATTTTTAAAAGGCTACAATTAAATTCTAGCCAATGCCACTCACCAAATCTTTGCACCTAGTAGATAGATCAATGTAAAAAACAAATACCAGAAACCTAACTGTACAGTGAGTGTGGGGGAAACGTAGTAACCTAGTTAGTAGTCCTCAATATAACCAGTTGTACCAGGGGAGTGGTGGTTACCTACTTGTTCATCGCCATTGCTGAGAGCTGTACCGGTCAGTTCGTTGATAACGGGCATTTTTTTTTTCCTTCTTCACAGAATGATTTCTTTTCTTAACCTTCGACTTACCCTGAGGTCAAGCCTTTTGTCTTTATGTGTAACCGATGTTCAGTCTATTTTAGGAATGAACCAGCAAGATGTTCATTTAAAACTGACCAAAGACAATTCATTCCTGGTCTAGTTTCCCGGGCCTTGGGGCCCAGCCGCCGCTGAAGACCTTTCTCCGATAAAATTGAGAACAAGCTGTGCTTCCTACCCCACTCTCCTCTCCCTTTATTCCCCCTTCCCCCTTCCTCTTCAAGAGCTGCTCTGAGCTGTGGGATTCTATGAAAAATTCTTGCCTTTCCTTGTTTTCAGTGCTAACGATTTCTCACCTCGAAGCGCCTTTTGAACCCCGGACAGAGCGCATACCTGGAGGGAATTGTAAGCTCGGGAATTAGACTTGGGAGTCTTTTCTCTGAGGTCCCCAGGCCAAGGGGCAGGAGAGAAATGGATTCCCAAGGGATGAAAGGTTCCTGTTCAACGAGGAAATCCGAGTGGGAAGAGACCCAGGGAAAAGGAGCCATCGTTTGGCTACTGGCCGGAACCAGCAGTTCAGAGATCTGCCTTATAAACCCTTCAGGACTGGTTTGTGGTACAGGAAGGGGAGCCAGTGTGGGGAAGGGCCCTCACGTGGGCTTGCTTCTCTGTCGCAGTCCCTTGGAGTGCCTTGTTGGGTATATTTCTTTCTCATTCAGGAGGCATGAACGCGGAGGACTTGCCGTGGCCTGGGCGTTGCTTGGCACTCCGCACACGCCCACGGCTGATGGAAGACCTCAAGGACTAAAGTAACGGTTCTTCCTCTCCGTCTTTCTAGTCCTAACTTTCCACACATCCAGATGGTTCCACACTAGAGCAAATGCCTCATTCTCCGGAGAATCCCAGAGAGAAGAGTGGCTGGCTCACGACGGCGGCGGCAGGCCCTGTTGGGCTTGGGAGGAACAGGCGGGAGGGGGTGAGCGAGGTGTTGCTCAGCTGATTCTCTGCTGTGCAGAGCTAATGCTGACGTTTCACGTCAATTTCCCCGGTTCTCTGGGGTCTCCTCTCTTCTGAGCGGCTGTGTAGAGAATTCCCCACATACCCAAAGCTGCCCCCGGGGAGCCGGGAGAAGGGACTTTGCTGTCATGTCGGACTCCTGGCTTCTCTGAGGCTGATCTGCCGATGTCCCGCTGTCCCATCCTCCGGGACTGGCCGAATGGCCACCGCTGCCCCTCGCCGACACCCCCTTTCTGTGTGAACTGTCCCAGGCAAATCACAAAGCTGTTCCTTGAACCAGAGCAACCAGAGTGCACTTTGCCTTCCTTAGACGGAGGAAGATTCTGGCTAGAGTTTCTGCTCAGGCTCTAGTTCCCGGCAGTGTGACTGTTTACACGGTTTGGCAATAGATTTGGTTCTGATTGCTTCAGAGTGGCTGGTCGATTTCGTTTCCTTTGGTTTCCTTCCTCCCCAAACTGTGTCAGGAAAAAAATAAATGGAAAACAACCCTAGGAAATTGCTGGTTGCCTGTCCCCACGTGATGACAAGTGTCGCCCTCTTCCGGATATCGTTTCTCTACCTTACAACCAAACGCCCGTCCTATAGAGTGTCTGTTGCGTATTCTGATGGTGCCTGCTGGTTTGACGTGGAGCTATCCTGTGAAATAAAACAGCTTAACTTTTCTCAAACATGCTCCCGTGGCTTTTTGAGAGGGTGAGGTGGCGCGGGGAGGGTGGGGAGGCCCCGACCGGCTGTTTCTACCCTCCAGTCCACACTGTCTGTGTGCTGCCCCCAGGAGCCGTCCCTGAGATCTCCTTTAGCTCGGCTCCAGCAAGGTGAAGGCCAGCGTTCCAAGGAGGACTGCTTCCCTGTAGAGCTAACTGAGAAAGGTAACTGCGGGATGCCCTCTGGGAAGGCAGAGACTGGAAATGTCAAGGCAGAGGGAAATGAGAGAAGGAGCTGTCACACTGCACAGAGGCCACCGGATGCTGAGTGCCCGTGTGAAGGCGTGCAGGGTTTTCAGCATTTGTACCGACACACACGTGACTCTGCCCCTTAGATTTTTTTTTACATGGGTATGTTAGTGTGTGTGTGTGTGTGTGTGTGTGTGTGAAGTTTATTGATCACTTCTTTCTTTCCCAGGCGCTAGATTAAAACCCTATAGGTGCGTTTTCTCATCAAATTTTCAAAACAGCTATGGAGGGTAAGTACCCTCCTCAAATCCCATTCTGCAGATGTGGAAATTGAGGCTCTAAGAGGGTAGGTGGCTCGCCCACGGTTAGGAGAAAGTGAGGGAGCCCTGTCTGTCTCCAAAGCCACGCCTTTTACAAGCCCATTGTACTGCCTGTCATTGAGCATGCCCACTACACAGCGCTGGCAGGAGGATCTGCCCGCCACAGGCAAGAAAGGCTCTGGGCCTTTCCTTTCTGATGAAGCCTCTGGTGGATCTTCATGCAGAGGCCTCTGCCGAAGAGAATGAGGTCTTCTGCCAGCCTCAGGGAAGCCATTGTTCCCGCCCTAAGCTCTCAGCCCAGTGCTGGCCCCTTGCTAATTCCAGGCTCCAGCACCGTGAAACCTTCTGACAGTCTAAATTTTGGATGCGCCCCACAATCTGTTCACTTGCTCAAAGCAATCAGGCTCACGTGAGAGCCTCAAGTCAGAAGCCTCTCATTCAATCAATAAGAGTGTAGGAAGCACCTTCGTGTGCACCTTGCCCCAAGCTGGCTTCTGGGGTAACAGGTGGGTGAGACCCAGTCCCTACCCTCAAGCTGCTCACAGTCCGCTTGCACAAAATGATCACTCCAGAATCCCGAAATCAACTTCAAGTTCTTGTGACAATGATTAATAGGACAGTGTCTGTGCGCCACGGAGGCACAAAGAAAAGGCACGTTTTTAACTGTTCGTCTGCTTTGCTAACCGCAAAGCCGTCCCTTGCTGGACTATCCACTTCTGGGCAGATGTGTTTAGGACTCTTCATCTGCGCATGACAAACTATCCAACCCAAACAGCCTTAAGAAAAGAGAATTTATCAGCTCACATAACAGGAAACTGTAGGTTACGACCAGCTTCAAATACGGGAGGAAATGAGAATGTGAGTGTCGCCTCCCGGCTGCGGTCCTCTGCTTCCCTTCTTCTGGCTCCACTCAGCTCTGCCTGGTAGCTGTACCGCCACGCAGGCTGTCTGCTATCTCGGGATGGCCTGGCGGCTGCAGCAGCCCCCTTTGGCCACAGCTGCTTGGCATCAGTACAGGCCTCAGGTTTGCGGCACACGGGCCGGGCTGAGCTGCAGGTTTGCTCCTGAAGCACGCCAGGGGGATGGGATCGGCCTAAGCAATCCTGGCTTTCAAGGGTGGTGTCAAACCCACCCAAACCTTGTATCCGGAAAAGAATAGCTGCCCAAAAGGGATCCTAGGCGCTGTCTTCATTCTACAGGCCTGAGATAAATGGTAAATGGAGGTGGTTTCCATTGACTAAGTTTTAGAGTCATCAGGGGCGCCTGGGTGGCTTCGTCGGTTAAGCGTCCGACTTTCGCCTGGGTCATGATCTCGCGGTTCGTGGGTTCGAGCCCCGCGTCGGGCTCTGTGCTGACTGCCAGCTCAGAGCCTGGAGCCTGTTTCAGAGTCNGGGGCGCCTGGGTGACCTAGTCGGTTAAGCGTCGGACTTTCGCTTAGGTCATGATCTCAGGGTTCGTGGGTTCGAGCCCCGCAGCGGGCTCTGCGCTGACTGCCAGCTCAGAGCCTGGAGCCTGTTTCAGAGTCTGTGTCTCCCTCTCTCTCTGACCCTCCCCTGCTCACACTGTCTCTCTCTCTCTCTCTCCTAGAAATAAAAAAATAAAAGAAAAAACAACATTAAAAAAATAATAAACCAGTAGGTTTAGAGTCATCAGTTATGCAATAATAGCTAACCGATACCCTAAAATACCCATGCACATACACTAAAACTTTGCACTTTTGCATGGACAACAGATTAACTTAATAATTGGGACACCTAATAATTGGGATGCTGGGTAGGTTAAGCATCCAACTTCAGCTCAGGTCATGAGCTCACAGTTTGGGATTTTGAGCCCCACATCGGGCTCTGAGCTGACAGCTCAGAGCCAGCCTGCCTCTCTCTCCGCCCCTCCCCTGCTCGTGCTCTGTCTCTGTATCTTTCAAAAATAAACAAACATTAGGGGCGCCTGGGTGGCTCAGTCGGTTAAGTGTTCGACTTCGGCTCAGGTCGCGATCTCACCGTTCGTGGGTTCGAGCCCCGTGTCAGGCTCTGTGCTGACAGCTCAGAGCCTGGAGCCTGTTTCGAATTCTGTGTCTCCCTCTCCTGTTCACACTGTCTCTCTCTCTCTCAGAAATAAATACAACATTTTAAAAAACAAAAATAAACAGTAAAAAAATAATAAAGCTAATATTCATGGAGTGCGTACTCTACGTTCTTCCTAAAAACACAGTACAAAGTATTTCACGTACTTTATACTGAACCCTTAAGACAATCACAGGTGTAAATTATGTTAGTAACCCTATTTTTATTTTATTTTATTCTATGTTTTGGGAGATAGAGAGAGAATGAGAGAGAGAGAGAGAGAGAATCCCAAGCAGGCTCCGCACCATCAGCTCAGAGCCTGATGCGGGGCCTGCACCCACAAACTGCAAGATTATGACCCAAAGTGAAATCAAGAGTTGAACGCTTAACTGACTGAGACACGCAGGCACCCTAATACCTTATTTTACATATGAAGAAGTTGATGCGCAGGAGGTTTAAGTCTAAGATTCCATAACTTCTCTAGTGCCAGAACCCACACCTGTCTCCTCTCCCACGCTGCCTGCAAGACAAAATATAGGAACCACCTTTGGGTTCAGCCCTTTTAGGCCAGGCAGTGTTATGTGGCCCCTAAAACCCTGGATGTAAGGAGGCCTCATTGCTGTGACAACTACCTTAAGATTAAACTCTATGCCAGCTTCTCCTGGAAACCCATGATAACTCTATTATTTATCAATCTCTTTTCAACTGTAATATTGAAGGGAGTGATTATTATGGATTTTTTGCATTCGTGCCATATTTATTTTCTCATTTTTTAAATCCATCTCCCCAAAGGACACACAGATTTATAGTAAGTGAGATGTTCATTTCCCAAATGGAGAAGCTGAGGAACGGAGGACCCAGGACTTGCCCAAAGGCCCAGGACACATTAAGGAAGAGAAGACACCTCTGGCCTTCCTGGCCCGAGGCCCAAGTTCCCTGTGATCTAGCTACTCCCCCCAACAGCCACCCCTAGCATACCCAACTCCTACATTCTACATTGACTGGGTGATCGTGGGGAGTTTTTCAGCATGGATGCAAGTGCAAAGGCCCTGGGTTCAAACAGACTCGAGTGTGGCTCCCAGCCCTGACTTGTATCAGTTGGTTGACCTTGGCAAGTGATTAACCTACTGGAGCCTCTGTTTCTTAAGCAACGTGGGGCTAATGAGAGACTACTTCTCAGGGTGGTTTGAAGTTTGGAAAGGAAGAGCTATATGACGTGCCCAGACCATCCAAGCACCCAGCAAATGCTACTGTAGTAGCCCCTGGCCACGCCTACTCATTGAAGAGTTTTGGTGCATCTGTCACTGTCTGAGAAGAGCAGGTGGTAGGATGTCTGAGGAATGGTTGAACCAAATGAGCTTTAAGGAAAAGTCTTGAACTGGGACTCTGCCATTTTCTGGCTACCAGATTTGGAGCAAGTCCATTCCAGTCGGGGCCTCAGTTTTCTCATCTATAAAATAAAGGCGTTGGGGACATTGATTTTGACTATTTCTTCCAGATCTGAGGGCTCACTTGATATCTTGGCCGAAGGCTGCAGAAACACACATGGGAAATGGCAACTGTCCCCTGCCACACCCACCCTGCTCTCTATAGGGAACATCCCGTCACCCCTGTGACTTCAGTGGCCATGTTTGGTGTCATGTCATCCCATCCCCTGGCCCCAACTGATTGGATCAAGAATGGCAGTTGAGCCAAAGGCAATTGATGGTGGGTTGGTTGGTAACTTTGGCCCTTGGCAAGTGGGGCCAATAAATGGCCTTTTTTAGGAAGGTTGACCCACAAGTAAGAAAATGGCCCATTACCACGAGGAGGGGATGGTGAATGGCCACAGTGATGAGGAGATTGAAGGCCAGGAGGTACCTCTTAAGGACCAAGTGGAGGCTAAAGTCACGAGGGAGGAGACTCTTTGAGCCCAATGAGAAAGCTGATGGGTCTGGCGAGACAAATGGAGGCATCCATGGACTTTGAGAGCCATGCCCTCCTGGCCCCAGAGAGAGTAATCCATCTGGTAGCTGCCCCATGCCTCTTCGTCACTGGAAGAGCTTACAGTCAACGCCCTTGCTTGCTGTTACTTGAGTAGGTTCCTGCTCTTGCAATCAATTGGAAAAAGAGGGAAGAATGGTAGTAGCCGTCATATTTTGAGCCATTACTGCACCCCAGACATTCTTCTAAGCCCTCCCACATATACATTAATCCTTCATCCTCTCAACCACCCTATTCTATCTAGAACTAAGCAGTTTCTATCACTCTTCCCAGGTTACTCATGAGGAAATAGCACAGAGAGGGTAAATAACTTACTGCCAGATGTACTGCTAGGAGGTGGGAGCTGGGATCCTCACCTAGATGGTCTCACTCCACAGCCAGGTCTTCGCTACTTCCTCCAAGGTTGAAGGAC